TTCATATCTTCAGTACAGGTGGGGACTCAGACTGGGTATTACATTGATTATAATTACGATATCATGTTCAAGGTATGTCAAATTATGTTTTCCGCTTGGAATGGATGTTGGCCGGTTCAGGTTGCCATAATTCTGTTCTAAGTTCTAGTGGCGTCATCTACCACTAGTATGTGCACATGGATTCCGGCTTATTATTGTCATCATCATTATCATTATCATTATCATCATGACAGCCGGTAGATTCACGGATCCCGGTCCGGTTTATACTGTTGACCAGGAAATTCATGGTTATGTTATATGCTTCTGATCATGATATTACTATTATTATTGATGTTTACTTTAGTATGAGTTCCTACGGAGTACAGTGGTACTCACGCCCCATTTTTATAAAATTTTTCAGGTCATGAAGTCGGTCCGGAGCTGTGAAGTTGACGGGTGGATCGAAGTTAAATATTTTGTTGTATATTTTACCACGCTATATTCCGCTGAATTTACTGTTTGACAAACTTTGACTTTTGATCCGATTTTATAGTCGGATTGTATATTATGTAAATCCGTTTTGTTGTAAATTTTTAGACGGTCGTAACGAATTTCTAAAAGATAAAATAAATGTTTTAGTAACGTTCCGAATCATTTTCTCAAACTATTTTAAAAAAAAAAATGTTTTATAATCGTACTCTGATAATTAAGTTAGGGCGGGGCGTTACAGTTGGTATCAGAGCACGTTTCTGCGTCTCTCAATGGTTTTTAGAGTCGAAAATTTTTCAAATATTCGATCACGTCAAGTTCACACTCCACCGGCTATCAGGTAAGTGCTGATACATGATTTAAATTATAAACAATTTACTATGCCTATGCTCAGTTATATTATGGAAATCACTATTATGGACTAGTTAAGGTGCTCGAATCATGTTCAGGGTTTACAGCCTAAAATATTCATGATAGAATTGACAACTCGTCAAGAAATTTGTATGTTCCATAAATCAGATAATGTATCTTAATCTTATACTTAATCATGTCAAACTCTTTCAATATTCAGATGTCGACACANTTCAATATTCAGATGTCGTCTCATAGAAGTTCGGCTCATCGTGAACCTTCACAGTCCGAGGTAGTCGCACAGTTTCGCGACTATCATCCAGAGAAGTTTTCCGGTCAGGGAGATCCCCGTATTGTCGACGAATGGGTTCAGGGCCTTGAAACGATTTTCGAGGTCATGGACTGTCCCGAACGTTATCGAGTTTTATGCGCACAAATCCAATTAACCGGTGACGCACGACTTTGGTGGCACGCCTACTGGGGTATGCGTCCTGGAGAAAAGGAAAAATGTACATGGGACATGTTCAAGGATTTAATCCGTGACAAGTATTATCCTCCTTATTACAAAGCCGAAATGGAGCGTCACTTTTTGGCGCTTAAACAAGATACTCGGACAGTGGACGAGTACGAGAGAGAGTTCACTCGACTTGGAGCTTTTGTACCTAACTTGATGACCACAGAAGCAACAAGGACGAGACGTTTTGTCGATGGGCTTATTCCTGTAGTCCGTCACAACATCGTGGGCCATGGAGTTCAGTCTTATGCCCGTACCGTCATCATTGCAGGGGAGATTGATGCCAGCATACGAAGGGAAGCCAATCATGATCGTCTTCAGCCAATTTCCTCCACTCAATCCTCAATACCAAACGTTCAACCCGCAGCCGCTCCACCACAACGATTCAAGAACAAGAGGAAGAACAGGGGAGGCCCAGATGACCGCAGGAACCGTCAGCGACAGCAGCAACCTATACCACCTTGCCCCACTTGTGGAAAGATTCACCGTGGAGACTGCTTGATGGGCCAGAACACTTGCTACTACTGCCGACAGCCTGGTCACATCCGACCTAATTGTCCACGACTGCAACAACAACCTCAACAACAGCATCAACAACTTCAACCGCAACAACAACCTCAGCAGCCCAGACAGCAGCCACCGAGACAGCCTCAGCAACAACCACGCGGGAGACAGCCAGCGCGTGTCTATGCAGTCGATCAAGCGGAAGCAGCTCAACACCCAGGTACCATGTCTGGGATGATTATACTTAATGATGTTCCTGTTTTCGCTTTATTCGATACCGATGCAACACACTCTTTCATTTCACGACGATGTCTTGACGCCATTGGGGTTCACACTATTTCTGCTGTCGATCCTCTCGAGGTGAGTCTAGCCTCGGGAAGAGAGATGGTAACTGATGCTAAAGCAACCGACCTCAGCCTTTCTGTCGGTGGACGTATCTTGCCTACCGAAGCTTATGTTCTCGAGATGAGGGATTTCGACCTCATTCTCGGCATGGATTGGTTAACATATTTTCATGCAGATATTCGTTGTCACGATCGGGAGATTACTCTTTATCTTCCGGGAGATGATTCTATTACCTTTTATGGCTCCAAGACTCGTGCTTTACCACATGTTATTTCTATGGCGAAAGCCAGAAAGATGTTGCGGCGTAATGATTGCCAGGGTTATCTTGTAAGTCTTATCAGCGATGAACCAAAAGCACGAACACCTCACGACGTTCCTATTGTTCGTGAGTTCGTGGACGTGTTTCCAGACCAACTTCCAGGAGGACCACCTAACCGGCATGTAGAGTTCTCTATTGATCTTATTCCAGGGGCCGGACCTGTGTCTAAAGCACCATACCGCATGGCGCCGAAGGAGTTACAGGAGTTAAAGACTCAAATTCAAGAATTACTTAAACTCGGTTTTATTCGGCCGAGTATTTCACCTTGGGGAGCACCCGTTCTTTTTGTCAAGAAGAAGGACGGATCTATGCGCATGTGTATTGATTACTGGGATCTTAATCGGTTAACTATCAAGAATAAATATTCGCTTCCCAGAATCGATGATTTATTTGATCAGCTGAGGGGAGCTTGTGTATTTTCTAAGATTGATCTCCGTTCAGGCTACCACCAGCTGAGAATCAAAGAGTCAGATATTCCTAAAACTGCATTTCGTACACGTTACGGTCACTATGAGTTCGTAGTATTGCCGTTTGGGCTTAGTAATGCCCCGGCAGTATTCATGGACTTGATGAACCGTATATTTCACCCTTATCTTGATCAGTTTGTTATTGTTTTTATTGATGATATTTTGATCTACTCGAAGAGCCAGAAGGAACACGAGGAGCACTTGAGGGTTGTTCTTGAAACCCTTAGGCGAGAAAAGTTATATGCAAAAATCTCCAAATGCGAATTCTGGCTCCAGCGAGTTACTTTCCTTGGTCATGTTATCACGCAGGCAGGTATTGAGGTTGATCCATCCAACATATCTGCTATTCAAAACTGGTCCAGACCCAAGAATCCATCCGAGGTTCGCAGTTTTCTCGGTTTGGCGGGTTACTATCGCACGTTTATTGAGGGATTTTCCAAAATTGCCCTCCCATTATCCCAATTGACAAGGAAGTCTGTCACGTTCAAATGGACTGATCGTTGTGAGTCCAGTTTTCAAGAGCTCAAGAGGAGATTAACCACTGCGCCCGTATTAATTATACCGGATCCTACTCGGAGTTTCACCATTTACAGTGATGCCTCGAAACAGGGTTTGGGATGTGTTCTAATGCAGGATGGCCAGGTCGTTGCTTATGCCTCTCGTCAATTAAAGCCGCATGAACAGAATTATCCTACACACGACTTGGAACTTGCAGCAGTGGTACATGCCCTCAAGATTTGGCGACATTATCTGTATGGTGGCAAATGCGAAATTTTCACTGACCATAAGAACTTGCAATATATTTTCACTCAGAAAGAGCTCAATATGCGACAGCGACGTTGGTTAGAGCTTGTGAAAGACTATGATTGTACCATTCAATATCATCCGGGGAAGGCGAATGTCGTTGCTGATGCCCTAAGCCGCAAGGTGAAGGGTGATTTGACTTACGTTGTTACTCGGCAGAACCATCTTATCCAAGAATTCGCTCAGATGCAAATTCAGATTGTTGATGCACTTCCTACGGTGATTATTGGGAGTGTTAGTGCTATGCAGGTTCAACCAACGTTAAGGGAGAGAATCCGGCAGGAACAGATGTCTGATGAATTTATTCGTGTTATTACTGCTAAAGTCCGTGCCGGAGGTGTCGAAGGTTTCCAATTGAGTTCGGATGGAGCCTTAGAATTTCGAGGCAGAATCGTGGTACCGAAAGTCGAAGCGTTGCGGAAAGAAATTTTGTCTGAAGCTCATACCGCACCTTATTTAGCTCATCCGAGAAGTACGAAGATGTATCATGACCTGAAGAGATCATTCTGGTGGCGTGGAATGAAGAAGGACGTTGCCGATTTTGTAAGAAAATGTTTAACCTGTCAACAAGTCAAAGCAGAACACAAGAGTCCCTTGGGCCTTCTGCAACCACTCGAGATTCCGAAGTGGAAGTGGGAGGAAGTCACGATGGATTTTGTCACAGGGTTACCGAAGTCATCTAAACATCACGATGCTATCTGGGTCGTGGTGGATAGATTGACTAAGGTTGCTCATTTTATGCCAGTATCGATGAATATGTCTTTGGATAAGTTAGCCGAGATTTATACCGAGGGAGTTGTCCGACTTCACGGAGTGCCTGTTACTATTGTGTCAGACAGGGATCCCAGATTCACTAGTAGATTTTGGGAAGGTTTGCACAAGGCGATGGGCACGAAATTAGAATTTAGTTTGGCTTATCATCCAGAGACTGACGGACAATCCGAACGGACTATTCAAACACTGGAAGATATTTTGCGATCTTTGGTTGTTGACAGGGGTGCTAAGTGGCAGTCGTTATTACCATTATGTGAATTCGCTTATAATAACAGTTATCATTCTTCTATTCAGATGGCTCCTTACGAAGCACTATACGGTCGTAAATGTCGTTCCCCTCTCTATTGGGACGACGTCGGTGAACGCCGAATACTTGGTCCGAACAGGATCGCGGAAACGGCGGCAAATGTGGAGTTGATCAGACAAAGACTCCAGGCAGCTCAGAGTCGGCAGAAATCATCAGCCGATCAACACAGACGTGATATTCAGTTTGAAGTTGGGGAGCGAGCTTTTCTTAAAGTTCGTCCATTCCGAGGGATCATTCGATTCGGAAAGAGAGGAAAGTTGCATCCTCGTTATATTGGCCCGTTCGAAGTTCTCGAACGAGTGGGCGAAGTTGCTTACCGTTTAGCTTT